AAAATGGGGAAGGGGGAGGAGCAGCACAAGAGGAGGAAGGAATGAGGACGAAGGGAGGCAAAAGGCCAGGGAAGACTACAAAGGGAAGACGAGTAATGGCCGCAGCTGCTGAGGTGAGGTGGGAGTGCCCCGATGGCTGCAGCAGCCGCTCCTGAGGACCCGTTGGTGACAGCAGCTGCTGAGACAACGGCGCCCGGATGGCCGCTGACACGCGGCTAGTTGCGGCCGCGGCCGCCCTGGCCCTTGCCAGGGCGGCCCGCGGTGAGTCCGAGCCCCCACCTTCCCCGCGAGACCCTCGCCCATCCCGAACACCCAGGCGACGGCGCTGCAAGCGGCGAGCGCGGCATGGCAGGCACTCGAGGAAGGTGGAGAGGAAATCAAACGAGGAAGGGGGGACTGTGAGGCTCCTGGAGGCGCCCCAATGGCCGCAGCTGCTTAGGCGAGGTGGGAGTGCCCTGATGGCCGCAGCTGCTGGTCCTGAGGTCCTGTTGGTGACAGCAGCTGCTGGGATGAAGGTCCCCGATGGCCGCTGGCACGCGGCTGGTTGCGGCCGCGGCCGCCCTGGCCCTTTGCCAGGACGGCCCGCGGCGAGCCCGAGCCCCCACCTTCCCCAATATCCTCGCCCACCCCGACCACCCAGGCGACAGCGCTGCGGGCGGCGAGCGCGGCATGGCAGGTATTTGAGGAGGGTGGAGAGGAAATCAGACGAGGAAGGGAGGACCGCGAGATGCCTGGAGGCGCCCTAATGGCCGCAGCTGCTGAGGTGAGGTGTGAGTGCCCCGATGGCTGCAGCTGCTGCTTCTGAAGTCCCGTCGGTGACAGCAGCTGCTGAGATGAAGGTGACTGAAGGAAGGTAACAATGGAGCGAGGATCGTCGTCCCTGAGCTGGTTGGCGACGTCGTGGACGAAGTCTGCTTCTCGTTCATTATGCATGGCGTGACTCCATGAGTGGGCGTCCCCCAGCTGTCTTGCTCATTGCTGCATTTGTGTCTGTGTGGCATAGGTTGCTTGTTGTGTAGCTGCTGGAGGCTCCTGCGTCTCTATGGAGGTCTTTGCGGCGCTGAACTGTTGTTGCCTCGTAGTTGATGTGCTTAGCTTGCAGCTCCGCCGTCGCCGCGCAAGCCTCTTTGTGTCGGTGGAGCTGGGCGATGTGGCCTCGGTCCGCCCCTCGAGTACCTGGATGATCTCGGTCTTGTTGCGGTACTGCGTCTCCTCTGTGCGCATGATCTGATTTTGCCCATGGATCTCGTTCTCGAGGTAGTTGGTCCTTCTCTGAGAGGTTGTAGTTGCGCTGGATGTGCTTGCGGGCCTGGTCCTCGATTTTCGCGTTCATGGTTTCCGCTGTTGCGAGTTCTTGTCGCAGTTGATCTTGTGCGTGCTGTCGGTCGTAGACTTGATGGGCTGCGCGTCTTGTCTGCCCTAGGTCGTTGATGATGATCTGTCGTCGATGCTCTAGGCGCTGCATGGTTTCGTCTTTCTCTTCAGAGCTCCTCTCTAGGTTGTTGCACTTGATGAGCGCGTCCGAAACGCGGGGCTGCCGCGGTTGATGCATTTGTACTCGTGCTGATTCCAAGGCTCTTTGCGGGTACTCGCCGGGCCCCAGGCCCAGCCCCAGCCCATGTCATGGCCCCGGCCCCAGCCCCGGCCCCGGCACCGGCCCCGGGCCCTGGCCCTGGCCTGGGCCCGGCCCCAGCACCGGCCCCCCGCCTCGGCCCCGACTCTGGCCCTGGCCCCGGCCCCGGCCCCGGCCCCAGCTTTGCCCCTCGATGTTCGCCTCCCAGACGACCACCCCCGAGGAGACAGACGGCTCTCCTCCCCCTCCCCCTCCCCCTCCTCCTCCTCCTCCTCCTCCTCCTCCTCCTCCTCCTCCTCCTCCTCCTCCTCCTCCTCCTCCTCCGTTGCAATTTTGGCTCAAGTCGTTTTGCCTCAAGCCTAGCCACTCTGCATCGAGGGGAACCGCGGCTCGCGCCGCGTACTTCAGGGAGGCGCCGCCGCGCGGGGCCGCGATGACATGTTGCAGCTGCAGGTTTACGTGGACTCCCACGCGGGATTCACGACCGGCCAGTTGTACAAGAACATCGAGGTTGGCGCATCCCGGGAGCTTCACCTTCAGGTCGTCCTTTGCGATTGCGCGGAGCAAGGCCGCGGCCATCAAGCCGTGCATCACGGACGTGAGGGCGCTGACGGCGGCGCTCAAGGAGGAACGGCTTCAGGAGAGTGAGGTCGCCGACTACACGACCTCCCAACCAGGCTTGCGACAGCCTACAGAGAGGGCGGCATCATGTACAACCCGCTGAGAAGATAGAGCATCCTGCCTGCGGAGTCGGACTCGGAGTCGGAGGAGGAGCAGGCCAAGGAGGAGAAGCTCTTGGGGGTCGCGGACACTGGGAACGTGAAGCTGGAGTCGAGTGGCACCTAGAAGGCGAAGCACAAGGCCAAGGATCTGGAGATTCAAGCAGCGCCCAAGGCCTCGCGCAATCGGCCTGCGACAAGCAATCTG